ACCTTGTAATTTTTTTTTTTTTTTTTTTTTTTTTTTTTTTTTTTTTTTTTTTGGCTTCTCCATTTCCATGACAACCATCAGGGTTGGCTACGTTCCAAGGTCGCCATGGTAACTATCAGAGGGGGAATCATGCCTGGGATGCTTTGGCTGGGTTTTTCATGAATGATTAGAATGTGTGACACAATGCAGACTGGAGAATGAAAAGGGCGGGCAAGGGGGCCAGCAGGCAGCGGTGGGGACAACTCCCCGCCACAGTCGAGCCCGGAGGCAGCTTCAGCTCCTGTTGTACCCGATTGCAGCTTCTGAACCTGCTGCCTACTAGGAGCTCCTGCTCACCCTCAGGGCCACAGGGTTGAGGTGGTAATGTCACAGCTGCAGTGCCCTTCCCCTTGGTAGGTGTCCCAGTGCCTGTGGGGAGGGTGGGCCTGGGAAGGAGTGGTAGGTGCCTACCCTGTTTACCTTTGGGAGTGAGACTTGGCAATGGCAGAGGCCCCTGAAAGGACCCTTGGTGTCCCCAGGGAGCCAGGATGGGTCGGGAGTGCTTGCCAGGCCAGGGATGCTTTGAGGTCAGGTGCAGTTTTTTTTAATTGAGTTTATTGGTACATTTAGGGATACAGTACAGTTACATTCATTGTTGGGATCTTGTACCTCTACATGACAAGTCTTGATTCTCATTTTTTCCCCTTACCTCTGCCCTCCCTTCACCCCCTCCTCCCCTCCCCATCTACAAACACTTTATTTTCATCTTTTCATTCTCTCACATTTTTTTTCTTTTCCCTTTTTGTTCTTCCCCTACGTATCACACCTTCCCTACATCTTTAGCTCCTTTCCTCCCATTTCTAAATGTCAGTAATCTTATTGTTCTTTAGTCTTTAAGATGTAGTACTCTGTCCTCATGGTGCAAGTGTCTAGTCCGAGTTCAGGAGGGGACTCAGACTAGATGCAACACTTGCCAATGCCTAGCAATCACCCTGCAGTGCTGGTGGCTCCCATGCTGGGAGGGGGTGGTCATCAAAGGGCAGCATATGCTGCCAGGCCTGGGGACAAGCGGGCTCCTGGCTTCTCTGTGGGCTGATGCCATTGGCTGGGTCCTACCTGATCTCTGGAGAGCTCCTGAGGGTGTCTCTAGGATATTGTGACTACTGGGCTGTAAGAAGGCAGAAATGGGATCCCCAAGCACCTTGTTCCCTAACCCTAGCTTTCTGTGCTCCTTATTTTGTCCCTCCAGGTATAATTTCCAAACGGCTCTGCCCTAGTGACTGTGCCCAGGTTATGACGACGAATCCCAAACCGAATAAGGCATTAAAGGTAAGTTAGGTGGGGCTGCAAGTGGGACCTTGTCCCCGTACATGCCCTGGAAGGCCCTCCTTCTCAGCACTGTTTCTGGGGCATGCAGAAGGATTTGATCCTAAGAGCGGGTGGGGACATCACTAGGAAGAAGTTCTTGTCTGGGGAGGTATGCAGGGAGGTGGCCCAGGCTGAGGGACATTAGGGACTGTGTCCATGGGCCCTGCTTCTGCTTGACTTCATCCTCTAGCACCCGGTGTGGCTGAGTGGCCTTGGTGAGTGGCCTCTGTGCCCAGTTCCTGCTGATCCCAGGGTCCACTCAGCTTCCTTGATCTTGGGCCAGCTTTCTTATCTCAGAGCCCCTGGGAGCTTTGTGCACAGCTGGAGCTCCGTGTGTGTGTGTGTGTGTGTGTGTGCGCGCGCGCACGTGCTTGGGGGTCCTTCCCCCTGAGGCAACCCTGCCTGGACAGACCCCAGTTTTGCCCTGATGAGTGAGTGGGGAGGGCTGGTTCAGTTCCTGCACCAGTGCTAGAGCATACTATGGGCAGGGCGCTCTGCAGTGTCCTCATGGAGCTTGGGTCCTGGCAATGACAAGCTGGGGGGGGTCACACCACCACTGGCCCTCCCAAGAGAACAGCTATTGGTCTTCTCTGTTCAAAGAGAGCCACAGTGACAGTAGGGGGCCAGTGGGCTGCCCAGTGTAGCCTTGTGGTGCCCCACTGCTCCCTGTGCAGAAAGCGAGACACCGCTGGGCCTCTGGCCTCCATGGGGCAAGTCCTGAGAGATCCTAGGTCCTCTTGGAACTGACTCTTTCTGCAACGCTCCAGGTCAAGAAGGAGGTGGGTGAGAACGCCCCAGTGCTCAGCGATGATGAGCTGGTGTCCATGTCAGTACGGGAGCTGAACCAGCACCTGAGGGGGCTCACCAAGGAGGAGGTGACGCGCCTGAAGCAGCGGCGGCGCACGCTCAAGAACCGAGGCTACGCGGCCAGCTGCCGCATCAAGAGGGTGACACAGAAGGAAGAGCTGGAGCGGCAGCGAGTGGAGCTGCAACAGGAGGTGGAGAAGCTGGCCCGAGAGAACAGCAGCATGCGACTGGAGCTCGACGCCCTGCGTGCCAAATACGAGGCCCTGCAGACCTTTGCCCGCACTGTGGCCCGTGGGCCCATCACACCCACCAAGGTAGCCACCACCAGCGTCATCACCATCGTCAAGTCTGCCGAGATCTCCTCCACTTCTGTGCCCTTCTCGGCTGCATCCTAGTGCCTACTGGGGCCGCGTCCCCATGCCTGCCCCTGGATCTCTGGCACGAACTGAGCATCTGTGTGCTGTGGACCCCTTGGGGCCAAGGGCAGGGAGAGCAGGACTGGTGGCCGGCCCAGGATGGAGTGTAGGCTCTTGTGAGCCGGCACCACCCGCCGCCCGCCCACATGCACACCCACACCCACACCCACACTCACGCCACCCCTTCTCCCTAGATGTGTCTGTTTGCAGGAACTGGTGGAGTCCTAAGGCACTGCATCCCTACACTGTGCCAAGCAGCTGTGGCTGGGTGAGGAGTGCAGTTTCCATGCCTCTGTGAGTGCCCTGTTGGCCCCGTCCTACCAACCAGCCCCACCAAGTTCTGGCCACCCTGAGGGGCCTGTTGGCAGCTCCAGTCTTCCAATTGTCCCCATGGAAATGCGCTGTGACCTGCTTTAGCTCTTAGGTGTGTGTGCATGTGTGTGTGTGTGTGTGTGTGTTCATCTGCCTGACATCACAGCACCCATTGCTGTAGCACCAGCCTTGGGGGATCAGCTCGGTTGGGCAGGTGGGAAGGACCTGGCAAGTACGTGTCAGAGAGTAATGTGCATGTTACGGAAGGTCCCTGTGTTTTGTGACCCAAGAAGGTCACTGAAAGAGGTGCAGGATCCAGTCTTTAGGTGGAAAGGGGAGTCAGAAGTTTTCCGCCAGTCGGTGGGGAGCAGGCTTAGGCTCGCTGGAGTCACTGCTCACCAGCTGTACTCAGTGTGTGGGAGACAGAGGGTCTTTGGGGGGGGCCTGCTGGGAAGGGCTTCCTTGGTCAGGAGAAGAGGTTGTTAAATTTGGAGGTGACAATGAAGGACATTCTGTGGCTTTAGGGATATTGGTGGACATGGAGTTGGCTGTGGAGGCTGTTCTGTGGCACAGGCCAGGGGCCCCTATAGTTCCCGTTGCTGGGGGAATCTGAGCAGTGAGGTAGGGAGGATGGGGCAGGAGGCAGAGAGGAAACCCAGGTCCTGGGAAGTGGAGGAGGCCTGGGCCATGCTGCACAGGGGTCAGAGGGCACTAGTCAGGATAGTGTTGTTACATCCAAGGCAGTTAGGTTGTGGGTAGGGAGTGTGGTGCTTAACTGTCATTGGAACCTCCTGCTCTTGCTCTGTAGAGCTTTGAGCTGCTGATGCTCTTGGAATCCTTCTGGCTTCCTTCCCCTCAGCATCCCCACAGGGTCCCTCTGGGATAGGGCTTCAGTAGGGCCACCATCATGAGCTGGTGGGATGCCAGCCCTGTGTCTTGCCACCAGAAGCCCTCATATGTGATAAGCAGGGGTAGTGCAGGGGATTCTGTTTCCCTTATGGCTTGCCCTCCACCTACACAGTGAGACCCCCTAGAAGCAAGTGCACTTGCAGGGTGTTGGCCACATTGGGAGGAGGGCAGTGGACAGCCCCAGAGGACAGACAGCCCCAAGGGCTGTGACCTGGTTGTGTGTCTACTGTTAGGAGTGGAGGAAGTATCTGGGAGTCTGTGGAAGCACTGAGGTGCAGCTGGTCATCCTCCCAGCCCCATGGTACTGAGGGCTGGCTGGGCTACAGACCAAGGCCCGTGGGATCCACAAAGAGCAAAGGCCCCTACTGGGCACTTAACAAAAGCTGTCAATACCATAGCCAGGGTAGGTAATCCATATTGGATATCAGTAAGGACCATGGGGAATTATTTAAAGAGAGAAGAATATATATATATATATATATATATATATATATACACATACACACACATTTTATCTTACAGATTTTTCATAATTTTTTTTCCCAGTTTGGTATTGTAGATCTTTGTTAGAGCAGAGCTGTGGGGGGATGGTGGGTGGGGTGGGGCAAATCGCCCTCCTTCCTGGCTTCTGCAAGTTGGCCGCTCGCCATGGATGGAGGCCCAAGATGCCCAAGCCCTCTCCTTGGTCTTCCTGCCTGCAGATGGTGCCAGGCACACTGGGCTCTGGAGAAGGCCTGGCCCTGCAGGTGCTGTGCTTGGCCTCCCAGGGTAGGCCATAGCAATTACAAGTTCTGTCCAGTCCTGGGATCCATGTCCCCATCTCATACGACACAGAGGCGGGTGACCACTGTCCGTGGTTTGCTGCCCATTGCTGGCCTGTGATGCTCAGCTTGGGGTGTGGGAAGTGCCCTGACTTTGGCTTCAGGGTGGACCGAACCATTGTTCCTGCCCAGAGCCTCAGTCCAGGGCTTGGGAAGGAAGCAGCACCTTCTGCTTTTCTTTTCAGACCCTTGAAATTTCATTGTCACAATTTAATATATGTGTTTTTGTTTTTGTTTTTTAAGAAGAAAGACAAGGACCTCTTTGTTGGTTTGTTTTCTGTCTGGCACCTTGGACTTCCCAAAGAAGGCAGGGCCGTGCCTGCCAGGCAGCTGGAACACATGTTCATTGCACAGCCCTGTCTGTCATGGCCACCTGCTACTCGCAGTTCATTTAAATATTTATTTGTGTGCTACTTTTTCCCAATATAAATTATTGAGAAGAGATCATATGCTGTGGACCTTCATCTGTGCCCACCCTGCCCCTGTCTTATGGCTCCCACCTAATTTATTGCTGTATATGTGGCCACTGTGACTGCTTTTGTACCTTTGCAATAAAGAATCTCCTGGTTTCAGGTCCTTCTCGTGCAGACCTGACTCTTGGGGCCAAGGACCTGGCATGCTAGACTGTGGTGTGTATTGGGCAGGCCTGCGCCCCTCCCAGCCTTGCTGCCCACCCTCACCGTAGCCCCCTCCTGGTGAGTCAGGTTGGGATCATCCACTGTCCACCTCTGCTCTGGCTCGGTTAGACTGTTGGTGGATTCCTGGGCTTCCCAGCCCTGCCAGAGGTCTCTGACAGTGGGTGCAGTCTCTGTGTTACAGCTGGGAGCCACAGAGCCCCCTTTCCAGCAAGGTGGGCTTCAAGATGAGCTGACAAGGCATGAGAGAGGGATGGAGTCTGGGGCAGAGAGCAGAGTTCCCCCACGGTGGCCTAAGAACTGCTCCAGAAAGCAGAGGCCCTGACCAGGTCTGGGGCAGGTGGGCCTCTGGCCTGGCCTTCCATGGTGAGCAGCTCCCACCCCACCAGCCCCACAGGGGCAGACAGGGCAGGATTTGGAGGAGGGTTGGGCTTGCTGTGTGATCTGCCCCTTGCGGGTCCTACTTTCAACATAAACTGAACAGGGCAGGGTACACAAGATGGCCCTGGCATGGTAGGCTGCAGTGAGTCCCCACCAGGCCAGCTCTCCCTGACTGACCCCAGAGTCCCATGGCTCCAGCGCTAGGCGAGCTGGGGTGACTCAGAATCCCAGGCCCAGCTCCTGGAGGCTATGGTTAGACAGAGAAGTTGTGAAGGGGACCTAGGCTGGCCTGAGGGGCATCTGCCCTCAGGTTTCCCACCTGGGCCACCTCAAGTGGATATAACAAGCTACTGCCTGCCGAGTCACCCCCTCCTGTATCCCATGGGTAGGCTGTCCTCAGAGCCCACTTTTTCATCAGTGATGATGAGGCCAAAACACTTCTTGGTCCTCTTTCCTCTGAGGCACCCACACATTCCCCTAGGAGGCTGGCAGGCCTCAGCCCAGATGTTTCATTCAAGGCCACACTGGCCATGTCTGTCCTGCCTGCAGTGGGTAAGAGCCCACAGCTTCAGTGTTGTATTAGCAGGGCCTGTCCCCAGGTGTCTGTGGAAGAGTTGGTGGCATGTGGAGTCAGCCCTTGCCAGCTTTGTGGCTCCAGGCAACTTGCTAGACCTCTCTGGACTTGCTCACCCATCCGAGCCTCACCAGGATTCAGTGTTTGTTGGTTCCTCACACAAGTGGGTGCTTGGTAGAAACCCTGGATGCTATCAGGTCTAGCAAAGGGCTCTATCTGGAGCTCACATAGTGTCAGGCTCCCCTGAAGGGTCCCAAGGGCAGCTGCCCTCCTATATAGGGCTGTGGGCACCTCAGGCTGCCCCCTCGGCAATGCACAGAGGCTGGCATGGAGCCTATTGAAGGTCTCCGGGAAGCATGGTCCCCCCCGCCTGGCCTATGGGATGCCTCTTGGGCCTGCCGGATGCAGAGGGCATGATAAAGTGGCAGCAGTGGGGGTGGGTCTTTCCAGCTGGGTGCAGAGAGGAGGAACCTTATCAACAGCCCAGTTGCCCAGCAGAAGCTGCTGACCTTGAGTTCCTGACCCTGGGCCAGGAGCAAGACTGTGGGGAGAGGCCTGCTCTCTAGCTGACACTGAGCTTAGTTCCACCCGGCCGAGTCCCTCATTTTGGGGCACATGTCCCTCTTCCCATGGTGAGCTGCCCCCTGGAAGCTGGCAGCAGGGTAGCGGGTGGGAGCTGCCATTCCTGGGAGTTGCCTGCCAGGCCTTCCTGCCTGCCTGTGCTGTGGGACTCACCCTTGTGCCTGGGATGCCCCATGGGGAGAGCACTTGTGCCAGGGCCCAGCAGCAACTCCTCCAATCCCATCCCAACTGCCTTTGCTCTCTCTGTGTGCCCAAGGTCCTCTGACCCTTCCTACTCCAAGGCAGGGAATGCTTGAGGCTCTTAGGGCACATGGAGTAAAAGGAGAGAAGGGAGAGGCCAGGCCTGTACCCTATGTAGCTGGGCACTGGAGGCTGTGCCTTGGGACCTCATCCACCTGCAGCAGGGCAGGACCAACATGAGGCTTGGCTGGGAGGGTGGTGACTGCACTGGCTCCCTTGTGTTGGCACACGGCCAGGCTCCTGATCTCAAAGTCCACACTGCCCCACAGTGCTCTGAACCATACCACTGGCAGCTGCCAGGGAGGGAGGACCCCAGAACTATGGGCCTGGCGAGCAGCACCCCATGTTCTGTTGATGGGATGCTGGCCCTTTAGGAACAGAAGGCTAACACGCCATTAGAAAGTCCAAGTTGTTTATAAACAAGGCGGCTCCATGGAGAACAGCAGGTCACCAGCCAGCCTTGCCCGCTGCCCCAAGGCTCTGTGCAGTGGGCTGCCCTTGTGGCTGTACCATGTGCTCAGGGTGATTCCTGCCAGGCTGTACCTCTGGGTCCCAGCCCTTAGCACCTGTGACTCCTCTGCTGTTCTGGGCTGGGCTGCCCAGCCCTTCCCCAGTGTCCCTCCCTGTAGCTGCCCAGCCTGACCGTGCATCTCTGCCTATCTTGTCCAAGGAGCAGCCAACTCGCACTGCCTCCACAGTGGCCTGGTGTGGCTGATGGCTGATCACCCCACTGGGTTCTTTGGCTTGTCTGACGTGCCCCAGTCCCTTTCCTGGGTCAGGTGGTCCACTGAACACCCAACTCAGAGCTGCGCATAGGACAGGAGGGCTCTCCAGAGAGGCCAGGCCTTTGGCAAGAGCATTGCTGGGGGCCCCTGTTCATCCCAGAGGCTTGGGCAGCCCAGGTCTCTATAGGTCCTCTGAGGGGATCAGCATGCGCTTCTCCACATTCCGGCTCCTCCGCCCTCTACCAGGGCCTCCAGCCATGCCAGGGTGGGTTATGGGTGAGGGCTGCTCAGCCTGGCCAGGCACTGGGGCCTCATGTGTGGCCTGCTGCATATACTGCTGGTAGGCAGGGGAGAAGTTGTGGATGGCATCCTGGACGATATCCTGGGGGCTGATGGTCTCCTTGAGGCCACTGGAGATGCTCTGCATGGGTGCCGGGGGGACTAGGAGCAGACGGCATGTGGGCCAGGGCCAGAGGTACCTGTGACCCAGCAACTCCCAGCACACACTCAGACCCAGGACACAACTCTTAGCCCTACTCCCCATCCACCTCAGGCCACCCAGGCTGGGCTCCCACATGTCCATATCCCAGCCTCAACTGGCAGAGGGTGACCCCAGGCCCTCTGAGCTGGCTTGGTTCCTCCCCCTGCAGTTTCCAAGAGGCTCTGGGGGGACACCATTGGCTGGCCTAGGGTGGGGTCGTCACATCCTTGGCCGCAATGCCCTGACTGGAGCCAGACACCTGGGTAGCCCCAGGCCCTTGTGGTCCAAACGGCCATCAGTAGGGACGCCAGTTCCCATCCCCCTCACTGAAGGCCCTGGGGTTGTGGTCCCTGTCCAGCCCATCTCCTTCGGGCCTTGCCCATGTCCAGTCCTGTACACCCCCAGCTTGACATCCTGGAGCCCTGGCTATGAGCCTGGCTTACCTGGGGAGTTCTTCTTTTCTGCATACACCTGGCAGGTAAAGGCGTAGCGCAGGGCTACGGAGGCAAAGGGCATCTCAATGCAGATGAGGAAGTTCTGGTAGCCAGCAGCCAGCGTTCCGGCCCCCACCCTGGTGCCACCGATGGCCTGAACTTCAGGGATGACCCCACACCTCTCCAGGATGGCCAGCAGCAGCCCTGGGAATGGCAGCTCCCTCTCAGCCCTGGCCCTGGATGGCCTCAGCCAAGGCTCCCGCCAGGGCTGGCCTAGGACATCCTGTCCACGTGGCCTCCTTCTGTGGGAGGAGGGGCTGAGGTTCACAGGGACCAGGCACCTCCAATGTCATGGTCCCTGAGTGCCCATCCTGCCACATCCAACCCTGGGTGTGGGTCCCACCTGCAGTTCCTACGGTTTACAGAGGGGACAGTGAGTACCTGGGCCTGTGTGGGAACCTGGCAGGGAAGGGTGTGGGAAGCCACAGAGTGGTCTCACTGTGCCACCTACATGATTCCTCCTGCTGAGGGATTTCACCACGACCGTGTCTGGTGCACTGGGGAAACTGAGGGTGTAACTGGAACCAGGTTCTGGGAATGGACTGCCCTCAGCACTGTGCCCCGCCACCCACCCTGCCAGAAGGAGAGGAAGATGACGGCCTTGATGGTGAGGAACTTCAGGACCGGCTCAAAGGGCTGAAGAAGGTCCCTGGTGGCGAAGTAGAAGAGGAACAGCGCGTAGAGGGCCAGGCTGACAGAGGTGTTGTAGATCAGGGTCACGTACAGGTAGCCGCTGTGGACACTGGCCGGAGAGCTGCTGTCAGGCCCCCACTGGCTCTTGGCCTGCCCCATCCTGCCCTGGGCAGTGCTATGATAGCCCCTGCCACCTCCCTTCAGGGAAACAGGACCTTTGGGGCCTCCTCAGTGTAGAGGAGCAAGGCCCCTTCTGCTGGCTGGAAAGACCCCACTGCCCTGTTGGAAAACCACCTCCACAACCTCATCTACCAGCCGTAGCTGAAGGAAGGGGTCCCTGTGTTGTGGGCATGGATGGGTGTGCATATTTGTGTACATGTGCCCCGAGCAAAACTCTTCCCTGCCTACTGGGTGTAGCCCTGGGGTCCTTAGCACGAAGACTGTGCCAAAGTCCCCTCTGCTTCACCCCCACCCTTTTCCTCGAGGCAAGGACCACCCCCCTGGGCCTGGGCCTGGGCCTGCCAGGCAACCACTCACACGCCACCCCCTTACTTGAAGTCCCCATCGTGGTATTTGCCGAATGCCTGCAGGACGATGGTTGTCAAGGCCATGATGGGCTTCACAATGCAGAACTGCAGGGTGGCCTGGGGGCAGGGGGTGAGGCCGAGCAGCTGGCAATGAGCCAGCTCTGCATACCTAGTGGCAAGCACAGCCTGGCATTGCCCAGGAAGGGGGAGGTGGAGGGAGGGGCAAGGCCATTCACCTGCTTGCAGAAGCGCAGGAAACCAATGGAGTAGGACATGCCCCGGAGGCAGCAGGTGCCATAGAAGCAGCTGGACCTGTGGGGAGAGGGTCCTTGAGGTGGGCTGGGAGGATAGTCCCCAACCCTGGCCTGTCCCAGCCCCAGCTCAGGGCATGGTGGGTAATGGGGGACAGACTTACTTGATGGGCTTGCCCCGGATCTCAGCCATGATGGTGCTCTCACCCCCCAGGTACTGGAAGCAGAGGCTCAGGAAGCTGTAAATGACAAAGGCTGCAAGGCGACAGGGGCTGCTGTGAGCCCAAGGCCCACAGGACCATCCTGCACCAGGATCCTGCCAGACCTACATGGAGCTTGTGAGGCCTGACAGTGGAGGGATGGTGCCCATGCCACCTGCAGCCCGGTCACAGCTGCAGTGGGTGCCCCTGAGGCCTGGAGTCTGACACCCCTTGGCCTCACGCACCCACCATGCAGCCCCCCAGACTTGGCCTTGCACGTCACCTTCGTAGCAGTCACGCACAGAGTCGAAATAGACGTAGTACTGGTGGCTGCCGAGGAGGAGGAGGCTGAGCCAGGAGTCGAAGGCATAGATGGGCACAATGAGCAGCAGGCGGATGATGTAACGCTGCTCGCAGGGCACAGTGTAAGAGTGCAGGTGCAGGTAGATCTGGGCAGATAAAAGCACACATGGAGCCGCTGCCTGCCACCCCTTGGCCCTGCTGCCCAGCAAGGGAGAGAGATGGGCAGAGCCACCTGGTGTCCCAAGTATTTCTTAGTCTCTTGCAGCCAACCTGCTTGTCAGGAAATGGAAAGTAAATACCATTCTACTGTAGTCAGATAGCATATAAAATATATACTTAATATATAGATATTAAAAATATATATAAATATATACGAAATATATATTTTATTAGAATATAATCATATTCTCTCTCTCTCTCTCTGGCAATGGGATTCAACCTAAGTCCTTTGCCCTGAGCTGAAGCCCTGTTTAATTTTATTTCTTAAAAAAAATTGTTTTTTTGTACCGGGAATTGTACTCAGTACCTGTGCTTGCCAGGTAGGCACAGGCACTGCTGAGTGACATCCCTGGCTGTTTCTTAAATTTTGAGACAGAGTCTTACTTAAATTGCTAAGTTGCCCAGGCCTCAAACTTGCAATCCTCCTTCCTCCCAGAGTGCTGGGATTACAGGTGCATGTAAACAAATAAAGTCCATATATTTATGGCATCCAGTCTGTTGTTTCAACAGACAGGTGTTGTGGAAGGGTCAAATCCAGAAGATTCATCATGCCCACTGTCTCACACACCAAATTTTAAGGTGTGGAAACAAAGTTTACTTCTTCAGAAAAAAAATTTTTTTTTTGAGACAAAGGGTCTCATATGTAATTCAGGCTGGCCATGAACTTACTATGTAGTCAGGCTGGCCCCAAACTCGAAGCGATCCTCCTGCCTCAGCCTGTGTGCTGAGATTACAGGTATGCATCACCATGCCCAGTTTAGCAACTTTTTAAAGTACTAAATTTTTTTTTCCTTTGGTACCAAGGATCAAACTCAGGACCTTGCACTTGGGAGGCAGGCAGCAGCACCACTGAGCTAAATCCCTGGCCCAAAGTACTAAATTTTTTAAAGCACACACTGGGCAAGTGCTTGGTTCACTGAGCTACAAGCTCCGCCCTTCCTGTAGCAAGTTGCAAACATGAAACACTGTGTTTAGTTGCTACCTCAGGAGGCGTGAGATGGCCGGGCTCTGAGAAGTAGGTGGTAAGGGAGGTGTCTGTTTAGGTGTTCACTTGCTCTTTCCTTCAACAAGAATTCCCTGAGCTCTGTTAAAAGTGAGGCCCAGGGTAGGGCAGGATACACCCCTGATGGGGCAGGTCCTCTGCAATGCAGTCTGGCTCTGAACCTGGGGACAGTGGAGGACTTAGGACCTCTGTCCCTAGGAGAAAATCTGCTCAGAAGTAAGGGGAAAGACACATGCATAAGGACATTTATCCTAGGGATCTGTAGGGAATGACTCTTAGGACCCCCATGCCAGTGGGCTGAAATGACTACACCATGGAGCAAGGGCATGTGGGAATACTACACAGCCCATAAAAATGATGCCCAGAAACTCAGGCCTGTGGGGAAGTGTTCCAACAGGATGTGACACCTAAGAGCCAGGACTGGACAGCAAGTAAGATCAAGGTCCCATCCCTAGGCTGTGGGAAGTATGATTAGACTTGTTACCTTTGAAGTTTTCTAGATTTCCCACACTTTCCACAAGGACACGACATGGACAGGGCTGTGGAAGGGGGCTCAGGAGCTGGGTGCACTGGTCCTGTGGGGGAAGCGTCCCAGGGGACAGGGCTGTGTGGAGGGCAGGTGGAGGGCATGCTGCCTGGCTCAGAGTGTGAGGGCAACTGGCATCAGGGCCGGCTGCTTATCAGGTGCACACCTCCCTTGTGTGTGGTGGGAGGACACACCACAGCCTGAGTCAGGAGACCTGGTTGATGACCTTGGCGAGCCAGTCTCCTCTCCAGCCTTGGTTTCCCCATCTGTAAAGTGAGCATCAAACCTCTCTGTCCATTCAACTCTAAAGGGGCGGAGTGTCTGGGACTCTTCTGCCAGGCAGGTCTGGCGTGGGCTGGGGGTTGGGGAGGGGACAAGCATGGCCCTGTGCGTCCCCACAGGTCCTGTCCCAGCTGCACACTCCCCAAGCCACCAGCATAGCCACATGCACAGCCGTTCCCTAGGGCTATAGGCTGGGTCAGCCCGAGTCCTCCCTGGTATCCCAACAGGAAGGCCCAGCCTCCACACCACCTCTATAGCTCTGGCTCTGCCTGACCCATCTTGGAAATGTACCATGTATCCCAGTGGGTGCCACACACAGGGCCCCCTGCCCCTGGGTTCACCTACCTATCCATGCCCCACCCACATGGCAGGTGAGCTAGTAGGAAGAGATGGCCCTGTGCTCTCAGTAGCTCTCCACCACCTTCTGTGGCTCCCAGTTCCCCGACCCCACCGAGCCAAACTCCTTGCCAGGTCGTGACAGCCCCACGAGCCCTGCACAACTCTCACCTCCCACCTCTGTGGCACTGTCCTTCAGGCACACGATTCTGCACCTCTCTGTACCTCTGAAAATGCTCAGGAGGGTTCTGTCTCTGACTCTCTCTGTCCCTGGTGTCTCCACCACTCCAATGCCCACTCCCTAAACCTCCCAGGCTACTGAGCCTGACAGTTCTAGGGGTGTCCTTTCTCCCCATTCACGGCTTGTTCGGGCCTGGGGCTCTGTGTGGAGCCTGGGGAGCAGCCCCATCTGCAGGAACGCTGTGCTCTCTGGCCAGGCTGGGCCCAGCTCCTTGTGCCCCCTCCCTTTCCCCCAAACCCATCCCGTCCTTAGCTCCTGTTCCCCTGGTTCCCACCCCTCTCTGATTCCCCATCCCCTCAGTTCCCAGCTGCCTGTTTCTAGACTGAAACTTCCTGAAGGTCAAAGTCCAAGCCCTGGCCACTCTACCCTAGGTGCCACCCCTCTGGGGGAAGAAGGCCTTTCTTCTTTCCAGCTAAGGGGCCTGGGAGGGATCCTTGGTGCCCCTGAGCCCTGATGTTCTTGTCTGTGAAATGGTCCATGTGGCTGACCTTGATGAGCAGGGTTAGGGGCCAAGGAAATGCCCAGAAATGCCTTGCCACATTCTGCCCTCTGCCTGGCAGAGACCTCCCTTCTTCAGGCTTGGTTTCCACATGCCAAATCCTGGAGAAAGGACCGTGTCCCTTCCCTGGTGCCTGTGCCTAATGCCACCCTGGTCCCATTGGGCTGTGGTGTCTGGTCCAGTGGGTCTCTGGCTAAGCTGAATGGTATCCCATGGAGGTCAGTCCCAGGGAGGCTCAGAGTAGGGAAGACTTACCTGGTGGCAGGTGAGCACCAGGGCTGCCCACACAAAGATGCCAGAGATACCTTGGGCCAGTGCTGTGGTGAGGAAGAGCTGGGGGGCTCCCTGGGAGCCATTGCCCACACGGTCCATCTGCGGCTCTGCAGGCACCATGGACATGGTGGCCAGGGGGCTGGGTGGTAGCCAGGTCAAGGGCGCCAGGGCCGCTCCGGCCATTTCCAGGAGCCCTGAGACATTACTCATCTGCAGAGAGGGAGGATGCGGGGGAGGACTGAAGGCCAAGGGGCAGCTCCCGCCTGGCAGGGGCGGGGCAGGGCAGGGGTCACCAGAGGGAGGCTATGCCAGGTGGTACCCACTGCAGTGCCTGTTCCTCGGCATGGTAGGAGCAAGTCTCTGCCTGGTTACTGTCCCTGGCGCTCTGACTTTCAGGTTGTGGGTCCACCTGTCCCTTCCATGGGAATTTGGATCTGACTGTCCTATCTCTCCCTTGGCCCCAGGCAGCCCTCGGCACCATCCACGCAAGAGGCCCTGGCTCCTTCCTGCCCGGGGGTCAGACTTCAGCTGCCTCTGTCTTGGGGAGACTCCTCAGTTTCCCCTTGTATACAACAAACTCTACTCTGATGGGACACCTAGGGATACCTAGGCTTCAGGGAGTCCGTAGTTTAGGAGCCAAAGGCAGCTTCCACCCAGGTTTAGGAAATGGGGCCTTCCTGTCCTGCCTGCCTGGGGGTGCTGGGTGGAAGTCCACCTGTGCTGACTGCCTCCCATGCTGGGCCCTACTGAGTGTGCCTGGAGATGTTTTACCACGCTTCCCCAGCCGCCACCCTGCCTGCCCTCTGGCGGGCACCTGCTCTTCAGTCTCTGGACAAGCTTGAGGGGCCTCAGGTACATATCCACTCCCACCCAGGCAGCCCTGGGCAGCCTACCTCCCCCCTCCAGCTGTTGGTCACAGGGCCCAGAGCCTACCTCCTCGGGCAGGAAGCTCCTGGCCCAGCCCTGGGAAGCCCAGCCTCCAGGGACACTGGGCTGGTCATTTGAGTTGCCACGTGGCCCCACTGATGGCCCAATGAGGGTGGGGCAAGCTGCTATCAGAAGGGCTGTATCAAGATCTGCAAGGCCTCACCTGCCTAGTGGCCCACCTGGGGAGGGCTGGGAAGGAGGAGCCAGGCTTGTCCCCTCCCTGCGACACTCTATCCCTCAGGCTGTTTGCTCAGTAGCAGCTGGCTCCCAGGAAGCAGCAGGCCCACAGGGGCCCTCACCTGCCTGAGCCAGGTGGCTGGGCAACTGCCTGGGCAGGGATGGGTGGGAGGGGTCTGGGTAGGCTGAGGTGGGGAGCTGGACTGCAAGGGCAGGAGTGGGGAGCTCAAGAACAGGGTTTCTTTGGCGCAATGAGAAAGTTGGGGACTCTCGGTGGCTGGAAGTGCTCACTGCACTTCATGAAGGGGCAATTTATGAAGGGGCAGATTGTGCTATGTGAGTTTTAACAAAGCACCAGGCCCTAGGGGGAGAGTGCCGGTTTCTGTGTTGTAGGGAGGGGTGTGTGGGGGGTGACAGCTGGGTTGCTGGGCCTCGCTGAGTCTGGAACTGCAGCTGCACGGAGACCCTGGGGCCCCAGCCTGTTCCTTGGTCTGTCCTGGTCACTGTTCACAGTGGCACGGGAGCTGTCAGGCGGTGCTCCTCTGAGGGTTTAGGGTCACACACTTCTGTTCTTTCTCCACCTGACCACGCCTGGGGCCTGAGCTGACACCCATAATCCCCTTCAGGGAGTGGGTCTTCCAGCCAGACCCATTTCACAGAGGAGGAGATTGAGGCTTGGAATAATGTTTCCACAAGGGTTGCACAGCCCTTAGAGAAGGGAGGATTAGTGGGGAGGCCCCAGAATCCAGACCCATCCCCAGTTCTGGGTCCTGTATCTGAGGCCTAGGCATCTCCTGGACCTCTGCCTACCTTGCTGGGGATGACCACCAGGGGATGCTCTTCCTGCTGGGCAAAAGGTCCCTATGGCTCTCCTGGCCAGGGGTCCACCCCACTGTCCTGTAGCAGATGTCAGTCTGGGGTCTGGCCAGGGACTATGGCTAACCATACCCTTCATGTCCTGGGACCCATTCCAGCCACATATCCCAGGGAGCTGACCTTATCTTGCTGCCCTGAGGGGAGGGTGGTCTTGGCTGGGTGCTCACCTCCTCCTCCAGCCAAGGGTGGACATCTGACTTTAAGGAAGGGGATGGCACTCTAACAGGATACTGGGGCTATGAGGGCAGGGACAGCCTCCTTAGCCCAGGGGTCAGGTGGGATTGTCACTACATGGCCACCCCAGCGGTCCACAGATCAGCGCAAGACCACATGCTGCCGAACTCAGGCACAAGAGGGTGCTGGGTCCCCAGCTGACCAGCCTTCATCTGGAGGCCAGGGTCACAGACTACACCATTTAGGAGAGGTTGGCAGACCCAGCATTACTTCTCAAGGAGAGGGCTGCACACTCACCAAAACTGTAGCAGGACAGACCTGCCTGCCCACATCCGGGCAGCGGAACCTCTGACCATTGCTCAGATTCCTGCTGCCCCAACAAGCCCCGACACCCAGGGCCTATCCCATCCCCTGTACCTTGTCCCTTCTGCTTCAGCCTGCTTTTGCCCTGATATCTGTGGCTCCTAGGCCTGACTGCTGGTAGTACCCAAGCCTGTGACCTGTCTCTCTACACAAGGGTCCCCTGTGCCTCACACCCTCATCTCTGGTGCCCAGTTGCTTCCTAGGACTGTATTCCACACAGCCCAGGTGATGGGACTGCCTCAGGCTTCCAGAGGTGGTGTGGCACCGCCTACCATCCTGATTTTCCCACCCGGTCCCACAGCTCCCCCTTGGGGCCCTCCCTAGCTGGTGCCCCATGAGTAGCTGGTGGCACTTGCCACTGAACTTGTTTTGGCCTATGCAATGGCCCTCACCCAAGGAACACCCACCCCTGGTGCACAGCAGGGTAGTGACCGAGCCCCAGGCCCTGGGCGCTCAGGTCAAGGAGTCACAAGTAGGGTGGGGCTCAGGGAGAAGCAGTGGTAACCTGGAGCCCCATCCCTCCCACAGCCCTGCAGGTTATGGAAGCATGGGTGACACACTGCTGTCCATCTCAGGGACCAGGGAGCCACCTCTCCCCACCTTCTGCCTCCTCCAGCTCTTCCTATCCCCATCACACCTTCCCACAAACACGTAGGCAGCACCACCTCCTGGTGGCCAGGATGCCACTCCTCACCTGGGCAGCCTCAGTTTCCCCATGCAACCTGAATCCCATGTATGGCTGTGTAGCAGGTCAGAGTGCTCAGAATGGAAACACAAGCTGTCCCCTGCCCACTACTCCTCAGGTGGCTGCAGGTCACTTCAAAGTGTATCTGTCTGGAATCCTGCCGCCAGACCAGCAGGGATCTAGGACTGAGCTCCAGTGGCCCACCTGGCCTGGTATCTGCATTCAGGTGAGATGTGGGGGTGCCTCAGCTTCTGGCCCCTGGGCTGCCTCACTCTTCCTGTGCCCACAAGCCCCAAAAGCCAGGGTGGGCCTTCCTGGGAACATGGGGATACCACTCCCTGCATTGTGGGTCTTTGTCTTCTATGCTGCCACTCCTGTCCCCAAAGAACCTGCTGGGACCTGTCCATGCCTGCCTTTGTCCACAGTAGCTGCCAGCCTTGGGTGCAGCCCTGGGGCCTTCCACCTAGATCTGGGCATGGCCTTGGCCTTGCCGGGGCTTTTTTTTGGTGGCATCCTATAGCTGGGGAGCACAGTCTCTGGGCTCGAGATGGGATGCAGGCAGAAAGGCGTAACTCAGAATTTTAGGAGTGGGTTTTCTCCAGGAAACCCCACCCCACTGAAGTGTCAGGCCCCAGTCTGGAAACCATGGCCCTCCCTTTTAGTCCCACATGCATACAGCTCACCTCCCTGAGGCTCTTGGCTGCTGGCAGGGCCCCTGATAGGCTTGCAGCTTGGTCTTCCAGACAGGGGACACACTCTGCAGTGTCTTGGCCTGGGAGGGTGGCGGAAGGGGTGACCCACGCAGCACAGCCTCCAGCCCTCTGCTGCCCTCCTCCCAGCAGCCAGGTCCCCCCACACCCTTACTGCTGCCCAGAGACTCCTCCCCACCCTGCCTAGCCAGCCCTACCTGCCCAAGCAGCCTCTCCTGGGCCACACCCTCTGTCACCCTGCCCAGGTTCTGGGACCAGCCTTCAATCCTTGCCACATCCACCTGCCTGAAGTCTGGGGCCTACAGCCCGACATCGAGGTGGCTTTCTGATGGCCATGTACCAAGGGTGGGCTGGTCACTGCATCACTGGCCCTGGGTGTGGGGGTGGTGATGCCCATGTCTCACACGCACTGAGGTTCTGGGTGACCAGCCTGTCTTCTCCAGCCCTTCCTCTGTATATACATTTCCACCTTCCCTTCATCCCCAGACAGCTTCAGGGAGGCTGGGACAAGCGTCACCCCCAAGCTCTGGTCACAGCCACACCCATCCTGGTTCACAGGAGCACTAGAACATGTGACCTGTGCTTTTGGCCTTCCATGGGCTGAGAACCACAGCCCTCCAAGACCTGGGGACAGGGACACATGGCTGGTGGGGTTTGGGGAGGTTGCTACTCTGAGTTTCATCTTCGAGAAAGCCTCAATGTGCTTTGTCCTTAAGTGGTGCAGGGTTGAAGGCTGACAGATGGTACAGAAGGAGCCTGAGTCCTGGCCGTGAGGTGAGGGAGGTCCATGAAGTTCTGTATGAGGCCTGTGCTGCTGGGTGGCTTTTTCTGGAGAGCTCTCTCCCTCCTCCTTGCTTCCTGTTTCTTCCAGTGCTTACCTCCTAGTCCTGTCTTGTATTTCTTCCCAGGCCCTCCCAGGTGTGAGGAAAGCTGTCTGTCCTCAGGCCCCTCGGCCTTTGCATCTGTGTAGGATGGGCCTCACAGCTCAGCATCGCCTGTCCTGGGCTTCTGAGGGGCCCCACATGAGAAGCTAAACTCACGTGGGACTGGCCTAACAGGTCCTCACACACACACTTCCGGTCATGTCCACCTCTGGGCCCCAAAGCAGTCTTTATCAAACATGGGCTTAATTTTGAAATGTCAATGTCCCAGGGCTTTATGGCCTTAGACCTCAATCTTTCTTCAGGAAACCTCACTTGGAGCCAGGGCACCCTTCACCCACACAGGCAGGGCTTGTCTTTTTTTCCTGCTGTGATGCCAACCGATAAGCCCCAGTGACAGTGCCTCTCTTCAGCTACTGGCACACCATGCAGGAACTGACTTCACCCCACCTGGTGGGTTCTTCTCTCCACTTCCAATTTTGCTCCCAGGAGCTACTAAGCAGGCGGGGCCAGCTCACTGTTCCATGTCACAGTAACATGCGGAAGGGTAGACTGTTAAGCCCCAGGATATGCTAGCTGCCTGACCACAGGAACAGTCGTCTTCCTGGAACTTCCTACCTTCATGGTATGCCTGAGCCCTGGGGAAGGGTGGGCATGAGGGATGGGCCTGGGAGGCTGCAGCTCAGCAGGCAACTGGAACAACCATAGGAGGGCAGAGGGTGGTCCAAGGGCATTGCTGTGAAGAGACCCTCTCCTGCCCTCCCTGTGCAGGCTGGCACATAATAGACCAACCTTCGTTACTACATTAGGCTTCAAAGGCCTGGAAGATGTGGTCTGATGGCGGGGCAAGCACCACACACAGCTCCTCCACCTACAGACCTCGCTCCTGAGTGCCATCAGCTGGGAAGGAATCCTGCATGTGGGGAGCAAGGGCAGTGTGGCTCCGTGAGGAATCAGCCTGACTCACAGGATGACGGGGTGTTCAGGGGTCCCTGGCTGAGCTCCTGAAGGCATTTAGTCTCCATCTGCTTTTTCAGCAGCATTGGGAATCAAACTCAAGGCTTGAAGTGTGTGAGGCAAGCGCTATATCTGATGTACCTCAAGCCTCTTCTCAACCTGCTTGTTAACCCTAGTGGGCCACTCTGGGTAGCACCAAGTTAAGTGTAACCTAGAGGAGGCCCCAGGAACTAGGGTCAACTCCAGGCTGGCTTCAGTATCACCTTCAGGGTGGGTCACGTCAGGGCCATCAAATAATATGGGCAGAGCTGCGTTTTTGCCCTGACCACTACTTAGACCCTGGCGTCTCTGAGCAACTCCCTCATCTTTCTCAACTGTCTCCACTACCTGCCTCTTAAGTAAGGGCGGGTCACAGGACCCAATTAGACGCAGGGACCTGTCAGGGATAGCTCCTAGGAGGCCCTGAAAAATAAGTCTGCACCAGAACCAGACAGAAAAGCCTGCAAGACTGAGCTTGGCATCTGAAGGATTGCTATTCCTTTGATGTAGTTAAAAGGATACAAGGACAGATAATCACAGAGGGGCCTGGTGATGAGACATTAGGACCCCAGGCCCCCAGCTCTTCACACTACCTGGGTAGCTTCATGGCCTCCGTGTGCCTCAGTTTCCTTGTCTGCAAGAGCAGATGGTGAATGGTGGGTTTTGAGGGCTGAACAGTCACCACCCAGACCACTTGAACAACTTCTATCATGTTTGTCGAACAGACTGGGAAACTAAAGCCACAGACATGAACTCAGACCTGACTGGAGTGGACCTTGGCTTCCCTAGATCTGTTCTGTCACGACAGCTGCGGCTCCCTGGACAGAATCAGGTATCTGAATTTTAGAAGACAAGTACGGACAATCATAGGCTAACAGTGAGTGAACAAAACCTTTGCCCCAATGCCTGCTCTACAGTGCTAATCCGATGATGCTAGGTCTTTGCTTCCAGTCAAGTTGAATTCTTCAGAACAGGCTCCTGCCCCACTCTACCCCAAGCATTTCCTCACCCCAGCAGCTTGTGGTCCCCACACCTGTCCTTCCCTCTTGAGTTCATGCTTCTGTGGCCTGTAAGACTTGTGGGGTTCGGGTCTTCCTCGGGACTGACGGCAATTGGGATGAAAAGTCTCGGGTTCCATAGGAGATGCCTGTGTGGAGGAAGTGGGGAGGGCACCTGGCAGGCCATGGGGGCCGCCAGCCTAGCTAGGATTCAGAGAGGACACTGGCGGATGCTGTGGTCTAAGAAAGGCTGGACATGCTGTCTGGAGTTCCTGGATCCAAGTTAGCCACAAGAGTGGGTCCTGACTGCCAGGGTGGATCTGGGAGCTCGGAGGGCAGGGTGGTAGAGCATAGGCACACTTGTACTCCTGCTGCAGGAAGGAGTGCTGGGACAGTCATCTTCTAAGATGTGCCACTTTCAGCAGAACCACTTTCTCAATTCACTATCTGTCTGTCCCAGAGAAGTTTCTAAGAGTATGAAAAGTCACAGGTTTGCAGAAGCCCCGAGCTCAAAGATAAACCAAATACAAATGTCCCTTCCTAATTTCATGAACACCCAGGTGCCACCTGAGGCTTTGCACATCAACCTCAGCAAGGGCGGTATGTGCTTCCCTGCAACCCAATTCCCTCACCCACCCCCAGCTGCCTAATGCCTTCTCACCAGAGACCATCATGGTCTCAGGTAGGACAGATTTCAACTTCCAGCTACAAAACTCCTAACTCAAGTGGGCCTGGTGATGCTGCCCTTGCTGTAGCAGGAGGGAGAACCCAGGATCCAGGCTGCCATTCACAGGGCAACTCTAGGGCATAAATGCCACTCCAAAGCCAACTCCTATTCCCAGCCCTTACCAATCCTTGCAAATATCTTCTAGGAGTACTTCTAAAGGGTGGACCTAATCCCACTCAAAACACTCCAGGCTCCTCATTGAGCTCAGGATCATCCTACGGCCACATGTCCCCCACAGTGGTCTTCCCGCCCAGCCTTACCAACCTTCTTGCAATGTTGCCCTTACTGTCCTCCTCACACTTCTGACCCCTGTACACATTATTCCTTCCTTGGATTCCTTCCCACCACACACAAACACACACACACGTGCGCGCACACAAAGTGTCTCCACTCAGCATGAAAACACAAAGCACCAGCTGGATGGAAGCCAACATCAAGGGTCCACAGGAGAGGGGAAGGATGACGGCATGCGCAGAGCCACTCCCAGGACTCACTTCACCCCTGCTGACCACAGATGGCATTTTTATCAAACATGAAGTTTTTCTCCTACCTGAGGTACGCTACACTGAACTCACATGGCGTGACTGGAATTTTTCAGTGTTATTAGGAAGGATGCTGAAGTATCATGGGATATTTACTTTTAATAAAAAACACCTTCCCCCTCCAAGTGACACTGCCCATGGGGCCATGAGTCATGCCAGCCGACTCATGCTGGCCATTCCCAAGTAGATGCAAGGATCAGAGCCCAGTGAGAACCATTCCCAATGTCCTTGCTGCTTCTGCCAACCACTGTGATAGTCACCAGTAGTGAGGGTTTGCCTGAAGCATGAATATTCTTTGTGGCTAAAGTCAGAGAAAGCTGTTCCTTTTGACTGTGCTGAAGGACTGGTCTACGAGACCCGCAAAGGGACCAAGTATCCAGCCGGTCCTGCTGAGTAGCGTGTGCTGCTGACTCCAGGTTACCACACCTGGCACATCCGAATCACCTCCTTCAAGGCCTTCAGCCCCTCCATGCTCTTGTCCTTCACTGCCATGGCGAGGAGGACAGCTCTGTTTCCGGCTTCTTGAGACACAAATGCTACCAAGTTCTTTGCAAAGACATGGATGAGAGGCTGGTGAAAGGGAGGAAACCACGGTGACTCCAGGAACCCTGGACATTTTCCCTGATGCTTTAACTCTGGCTTCCCAAGCTACCATTAAGCTGGATGCAGCAATGACTCAGAGTTCCATGAGGCACTTGAACTCCAGGTATAAACAAAACACTACAGAGCCATCATTAAGCTTATTTCCTCGGAGCCTTCTTCATCTCCCTCACCACCTGTTTCTAATCTAGAAGGACTCATGAAAGACAAGCCAGCAGAGGGAGACGCTGTCAAGTCTCATGGAGCACACACAACCACTCATTAACATAATTTATCAGGACAAGGTCAAACTGAGGAGGCAGCCAGCATTACAAATCAGTACCTCCACTTACCTGCTGGATAAAATGCTGACAGGGTCGGAAGAGCATTACCAAGAGCAGGTCAATGCCCTCGAAACCACAAAGGTCCTAGGGAAGACTGTCACTGTCGCTACGTGTATGTGGTGTTGCATACCAGATGTTTCACACCCTACTGACAATTTGCTGCCTAGAAAGAGGATTCTCTGCTCCACCCTGGAGTCCCTTCCCAACCACTCTACCTCATCTTGCCCGAGAAGGACTTTTGTGGTGAGCACCGGCTTGCTGATGTCGTTGGCCACATTGCTGGGCTCCAGGGAGACCAGGGTACCCATCTTCCCGAACTGGGTCACCACCACCAAGATGTGGCTGCTGAAAGCTGTGCAGACCACCTGCGTGGGGACCCCGCACACCACTTCCGTCTTCTGTTTCGATACTACCAACGGTTTGCTTTCCATGGTCCTGCTCTTCAAGTGGCGGCTTTAATTTGGTTTAAAAAAGACAAAGAAAACAGGCTTCGTCAAGCAGTGCTTAGGATATTACATGGGGATCCAAAATAAGTATCATGTGGCTTTAAAACACACACAAGCAGGTCCACGTAGGCTTCACGCGGACTCTGGCTGGTAGGACTGAACACACACCCCGTTCTGTTTACTGGAGCTCGGGAGGCGGCCCGCCACACACACCCACCCCCTCAGTTCTGTTTACTTGGGCTCGGGAGATCACCTGCTCCTCGGAGAAGGAGACTCCCCGGGAGCAGAGTAGGAGCTACGGGTTCCCGTGCTCACCAAAACACGCTGAGCCGGAAGTGGCTCGGCGTGATCGATGTGGCCCACCCCCGCCCGTGTTTAAAAAAGACAAAGAAAACAGGCTTCGTCAAGCAGTGCTTAGGATATTACATGGGGATCCAAAATAAGTATCATGTGGCTTTAAAACACACACAAGCAGGTCCACGTAGGCTTCACGCGGACTCTGGCTGGTAGGACTGAACACACACCCCGTTCTGTTTACTGGAGCTCGGGAGGCGGCCCGCCACACACACCCACCCCCTCAGTTCTGTTTACTTGGGCTCGGGAGATCACCTGCTCCTCGGAGAAGGAGACTCCCCGGGAGCAGAGTAGGAGCTACGGGTTCCCGTGCTCACCAAAACACGCTGAGCCGGAAGTGGCTCGGCGTGATCGATGTGGCCCACCCCCGCCCGCCGGAAGTTGCCGGCCGCGGGCTTCCGGCCCTGGGCCTCCCGCAGCCTGGTCCGTGGGGTGCTGGCCTCTGTGTTCGTCGGGTTCCGTGCTACGTGAGAGACCGGGCTGTACTGCGGCCGTGATCTCCAAATACAGGGTCTCCCTGTGCGCGCCTTGGGATCATTGGGGCACGCCGGATACTGTCTGAGCGCTTATGATAAATCAGGGCGTTTAATCTATGTGGTTTAGCTTCAGAGAGCTGATGCTTCATTGTCCGCGGTGGGGTGGGTGCAGAAGAGTCCTCTTCCCTGCAGGGTGCCCACATCAATCGGTGTAGCTGGGGGTGTCGATGTCAGGTGGGGTGTCTTGGGCAGCTGCCGAGAATGGTTTGAGCCGGAGACTTTACCCGAAAACCTTACTCAGAAGTCTGGCTGACCACGCACTGACCCACAGGAAACTTCACACCCCTAGAATCTGTACTCCCTCTCCTGATTTAATGCTTCCTTGTCCAGCCTCAGTCAAGTCAGATGAAGTGTGTTTCTTCCAAAATGATTTCTGCTGGTGGTGTAAAATAAAAGGTGCACATTCTAAACATGACTAAAATAGACTGTAAACCAAGAGGAAATTCGTTTTTGAACATTCTACCAGAGAACACACAAAGGAAAAAATAAGTTTCATTGGTACAAGTACTCAAGAAGCAGGAGGCATATCAATTTCTCAGCAAAATCTTTTTATCCGTTCTAAATTTAAAGACACTTCCACCCACACACCCCAAACGCAAAATGCCAGCGTGTTGCTTTGCCAAGTGAAATACTCAAAAAGGGGCACTGATTTTTATTCTTCTAGTTTCCCATTCTCAGGCAAAAGAGGCTGAGGAAATCTGACTCCCATCCAAGCAAAAACCTCAAAAATAAACTTAACCACTTCTGTAAAAGGGATGTTGTAGAACAAGGTGGACTACATTTTCATGCCACTGTTAAGCAAATAAGTGATGGGTTGCTATTTGGTTGATTTTGGTCTAGATGTATGATAAAGACTGAATATGAAGGAAAAGAGAGGTGGAAGGCTGTACTAGGCTGAGTTAGTGTGGGTCTAGGAAGGAAACTTCCTGGTGGCCTAAACAGACATATGGGCAGAATTTATGCACTTGGAAGGATGGATGGTCTTGTTACTTGCTGCTGATTATTTTCCATTGCATAAGGAAACTTTACTGAAAAGAAAGAAATTCCTTATGTGAATTAATTTTAAATGGGAGTCAAGTAGTACCAACAGGGAGACAGGAGTTTGAGAAGTTATCTTGAAGAATGAAAAAAAAACCCCACAAATAGCATGAATTTGTCTTATATTCAATAAATTTTAGGTTGTGCATTCAACTGTGCATTCATTTGTAGAAACAAAGAATCAAATGTTGATTTGGCAGGGTCCTAATTTTTCTAACAAATTGCACGCTAGCTCAACACATTATCTTTCCCACTGTGTGATTTTCCCAGCTCTGTTATAAAGAGGATTGGTTTTTTGATAATTTGCAAGTGTGCCATCAATTTTCCCAAGAGCCTCTCATAATCATTTGATATTCAAATTGTTTCTTGTTGAAGTACTAGCTGGCATTGGCCTTGGCAGTTTCCTCCTCCTCAATCATTTGCCTGTTTGGCTTTGCCAGACCCTCCTCACTTGCGGATGACTTTAGGTTCAGTCTGAGCATCTGTTACATTCCTGGGCATTCTGACATCTTGTATCTCTGGAAAGATTTATAATTGGCTTTAGGTTTCACTGTACTTGTACAGCCTTATAACATGATTCTGTGTCCTTTCGTGGAAAGTGGGGAAAGATACTAGAGCTGTGCAGGGAAGGAAATTTGAGTGGAAATCAATGTGAATGATCAAATCATTAGTACAGCTTGCCTTGGTGGTGCATATCTGTAATCTCAGCGCTCTGGGTGGCTGAGGCAGGAGGGTCAAAAATTTGAGCTCAACCTGGGCAATTTAGTAACTCAGTGAAAGACCTTGTCTCAAAATAGAAAATAAAGTGTTAAGGATGTTGCTCAGTGTAAAGGCCTTGGGTTCACTCCGTAGTACTGACAAAACATTATTGGTGCAACTTTTGTGTTATGACGTTTTCTGTTTTCCTATGCAACTGCAAAACTGCAGGGACTTAGACTGAGGCTTTCCTAGGTATGATCTCTCAGAGTGGGTAAAATTTGAGACTTCAGAATCAATCTTTTTGGTTCTTACTGACCGTAGTTTTGGGGAGCTTATTTTGCTAGCCTCGGTTTCTCAGCTTAGAAATAAAGTTACCATTGGTTTGTATACAGTGATTCACTGGAACATCATAAATTCAGCTTTCAAATTTATTATTAGCGAACTCTTCTCCCCATCCATAAAATCCTGCTGCTGTATACAGATGAATAATAGTGTTACCACAGCCATCAGGACCTCTCAGGGCTTTCATTCAATGCTCTTTCTTTGGCTGCTCCTGACCCACATGGTGAGAACTTGCCAGCCTGGCAGGATGCTATCTCCTAGGTGCTGGGAGGGTGACTGTCAGGGTCCAGGATCTGCTGAGAAACAGTCCTGTGGACACAACATTCTCTCTGTGTGTGTTATGTGATAATATTTATATAAATGATTTCTTTCTCATTTCTCTTGCCCAGACTTTTAAGAGAAGCTGGCTAACTGGAAATACATTTGTAATATAAGCCTGAGTCAGGTGCTAGATACAGACACTTTATGGAGATTATGTATTTATATTAGCTTATAGACACTATGGATTTAGGTTTTATTTATATAATGGATATTTTAATTATATTTAGATCATTGATAATATTTTTTTGAGATAGGGTCTCACTATACAGTTCAGGCTGGCCTTGTGAATTTACTATGTATAATCCAGGATGGCCCCCAAACTCTCAGCAGTCATCTTGCCTCACCCTCCCAAGTGCTGGGATTATAAATGTGTGCCACTACACCAGCTTTTTTTTAGACAGGATTTTGCTATGTGGTTCAAGCTGGTCTTGAACTCACTGTGTAGCCCAGGCTGGCCTCAAACTCATGATGATTCTCCTGCTTCAGCCTCCTAAGTGCTGGGGTCACAGGCAATCATTGATATTCTGGAACAAATGAATAAGACCAAATCCATTAGGATACTTTCAAGTATAGGTGGCAGACACTTTTGTGAAATATCTGTCCCTGCAGTGAAACAGATGGGCTCACACAAGTGAAAAGACCCAGGGACTCGAAGAACTCTCTCTGTGCCTGGACTTTGCACATGCCTTGGATCTGTTCTAAGCTGCATTTGGCCTTATTTTGGTAAAATTGCCCCCAGTCCTGGTTCTTCCTCAGCTGTGGGGGACTGCCCTATTGCTAAAGCCCAAAGCAAGCTGTAAGCAGTACAGGCTGTTCAGAGTTAATCCCACAATTGGCTTGTTTTAACAAGTGAGTCTGACCAAAGCATATGAGATAACACACAGCTGAGGTGAGAGTGACTCTCACCCAAAATTTGTTCCCAGCCTAACACAGGAATGCTTTGTCTCTTCTTTTAGAAGCTTTGCGTCAAGAATATATCCCTAGCAACCACATGTAGCCGTTTTAACCAAACTTAATAATGATTATGTCACCAATAAATATTGAGGGCTTTGGCTGTTCAGGGCCTTTGCTTGCTCAAGCACTGGCCATCCCAGTTCCCCATTTCTTTCTTTTTAATTATGTCTCTAAGTCTTTCTTCTCTCCATGCATCATAGCACTGAGCAAGAGATTTGGATCCACTGTAGAGGCCTCTGATACTCAGCGGCTTTTCTTGCTCTGTATTTCCAGTAAGAGTCACTGTGACAGTGAGTGCACGGATGCACGTAGTGACCAGTGCTTCTGAGCTCTGCTCTCCCAGGCTTTTGTGTGAAGCAGAGGCTAGAGATGACTCCACAACCAAGCCACCCACACCCTATTCCTCTGCACCACACTCCTGTCTCTGGAGATGTGGTGTGATCATAGTATATAAGGACAGCAACCTAGAAGCAGCACAACACTGCAGTATAGAGTAGCCAGGGGGAATGACAGGGGCCATGTCATCACCTGCTGTGGGCCCTTTTCTGGGCTGGCAGCCCTGGGGCTGGTGAATGGCATGTGCCTAAACTCCAGCTTTCAGGCCTAATCTTGCTGGTGCCCTGGGCTTGTGGCTGCTAGGTGTGGCCTCCTGTTGTGACCAGCTGTGTTTCTGTACAGTGGCAGGGCTACCATACCCCTATGTGCAACAGCTTCAGAGACCCTAGACTACACAGCAGGGCAGACACGGGTCATTCTCATTACAGAGCTTGAAAGACAAGGACAATCTTGCTCAATACCCAGTTATCTAGAAAAATATAATGATTGATTCATTTATTTCAAACTATGATAATTCAAATTGTGGGGGTCAACAGCAGGGATATGGTTGCAGTTGACTGAGGCTTTTGGAAGATAAATGATTAAAAGCAACCAATTTAAAAGTATATATATTTTATTACAGAAACAAAACCCTGAATTGTCTACATGAAATTTAAATTCTTCCCGAGGGAAATTAATAAGTACTATTAAAATTCAGTTTATAAGAGGGATCCAGGGGGAGGTCCATCTGGGAAGGGAAAA